CCTAACCCCAGAAGGGGGGTCTGGGGGGATTGTCCCCCAGGAGATTTTTTGAAATACTAACATATAAAGTATCCATTCTGGTACACTCTGAGAAGGAAATAAATAGATGTATTACGACATATTAATAATATTTTATGCCATTGTTTGTTTTTCACTTTGTTCTGACAGCTGAACTTGCTGCTCCACTCAGAGAGAAGAGCAAAGAGGAGATAGTTTGTGTGAAATACTTTAAATTGTGGGTAAGGGTTCTGTGACCTGTCAATCATCAAACCGGGGGTCATATTTCATTATGTGTCCATTTTTATCTGAAGTTGTACCCATGAGTGTATAAAGAATAGTTATACCGCAAAGTTATTCTCCGTGGGGACTTCCGGCAACAATCTTGATTCTGATTGGCCAGAAGACTCGACAAAACATCAGCAAAGATATTTTATTGAGAAGATGATCACTATGTGACAGAAGTTTTCAAAACCGTTTATGGTCTCCGGTACTTTCAAATCAACGCCTACTGCATGCAGAGCGATAGAAATTGGGCCTTCAAAATAAAAGTCTGACTTTTTCTCCCAAAACAAAAAAAAGGAAACTTTTTTTTTTTCACTCATACATCTTTGACCCACTCGAAACGGTTCCGCGACCCACTTTTGGGTCGCGAGCCACCAGTTGAGAACCACTGGGTTAAAGGGCCCGGGGCAGGAGAATTAGCACCACCAGCTGTTAAAAAAATATGCCTATTTTTAATACTAACAGTGGTGGATGGAATGGTAGCGGCAATAATAACACATTATGTTTTGCCGATTCTCTGACCCTGGTGATTTGGACGTAAACATGGCTAATATTAGGAGGGCTGTGTTACCTGCCAGTGGTGGAAGACGGACAGCGCAAAGGCCTGTCCCTGTGTGTGTGTGCGGAGGTCGGTCTCAAAGCCAAAGGAGTCGATGGCCGGGATGAAAGCCTTAATGGTGTAGAGAGGAGAGCCTGGAATAGGTGCGTCCTGGGTCACATGACCTCTGTTAAATGACAAATACAGAACTACATTTAATAAACAACAACATTTTCTGTATTTCAATTTCCAGGAATATTGTCAGAGGGTAACATTTCTGCCTTGGTTGGTTTAAAGGATAAAGGAAATATACAAACCTTCTCCTAGCAAGCACTGTGTAAACAGCAGATACACAATCAGCAGGAGCCTGAACCTCCACAAAGTAATACGGCTCCATCAACCTCGGAGTGGCCTGCGACACAAGGGAGACCGTGCATTAGAGGGAGGACAAAAGCCTGGAGAAACTGGACAGTATACCCATGTACAGCTGACCCATGAATTTATCATAAGAGCAGTGAAAGAGCCAAAGGAGGAGGAAAGACGCCAATATTATATTGGAACGGTATCGCACTACAATTAAAAAGAACGTACGTCAGCAAAACCTGAATCGTAATCAAGGTAATGGAACATTAGAGGAAGTGAAGATGAAAATGAAGTCTGGAGGAGATAATGGCAGATGAGGAGAAGAATCGGCTCAGCAGGATGATCTCACCATGAGGAAAGCGGAGTACACCACTCTCCTGGCTGTGGGGATGACCTGGCCTCCTCCTCTGTGGAGAGGCTCCTGAGCAATGACCGCGTCCAGGATCTTAAACTTGACATTCCTGATGGCTGAGGGCAGCAGAAAGACTGAGTTATAGTAACATAACTCTGATGAGGAAAAATACATTTTCCCTCTGCACAATGGTAGATATTCTAGTGAAGGTTTAATTAGAGTATTAATGTCATATGAGAACAAATGTTTATTCCTTAAACCAACATATTTCAGGGGGGAAATAACTTACGCTCATCACACAGAGGCCCCTCCCTGGTGCCCCACTGGAAGCCTTGAACGATGCTGTCCTTCACGGAGCCGAGCAGCGCCTTGTCCACCTACATGGGAGGAAAGACATCATAACAAGGTACAAAATCAGTCATGCTCTGACGGGATGTGCTAATAAAAAGGCTCAATGAGAAGAATAATCTTCAAAAAAGGAGTTTAGACTGTCTGCAGAGAACATATCCTTGGCCTTTAGTTTCTATTTTGATTTCATTTTTCTGGGTGTACACATGTATAGAAATTAAACACCATGGTGCCATAGATCGTAAACAGGCACGCAAGAGAAAGCTACAGAAATGGTGGACACAGCGCTGAAAGAACTCAACCTTAAGAGGAGAAACGCCAAGCAAATAAGGCCCATTCGGTAGTGGTTTGTAAACACAACAGCCAGACATGGCCTCCCCCCCTGGCTCCCCAGAGGGGGAAACCAAGCCCAGATTCTCTGGTTTTGGCTTTCACAAGTCGGAGAGGAGAGGCCATGTCTTACTGTTGTGTTTACAAACCACAACCAACAAATCCACCTAATTTGCCTTGTTCGTAATCCTGATTTACAATTGTATATAAATGTATAGTGTAAATAAATTGAGTACTTTTTTTGGTCAATATTCTAAAATGACTGTGTGAAACTTTTGTTGTCATTCAGGGATGTATTTATTCTCTTTCGGCATCTCAAACTTCAATGTTTTGTGATTGATGTGCACATGGTTTGACAGGACCACCATGGCCTAATTTGGTGTTTGCATCAGATCAGTTTTTGTAATCATTTATCTGATGATTGTCTGTCTTGATTAAAAACCGATAACTCAACCTGATTAAATTAATCAGCAACAAAGCAAAACTGACAAACACTTGCTTGATCTAGCATCTCTTGTGTGAGGATCAGTACAATATATCACGTCATTTCACGATGTCACCTCTGACTCTGGGATGTTCTTCGTCATTATGTTAAAATCTTAAATGAAAATACAGTTACAGCTCTATGTGGCGCTCAACATGTTGATTAAGCACTATACAGAGGTGATTGGGTATTGTTCACCAAATTGACCAATAGTTATATAGAAAACTAGCATAGACAAAAAGCTCTAGCAGTGATTCAACAAAACTCACCTCGGAGGGCAGCGTGTCGTCTACCAGGATGTTTGGTCCCGTGGTGTCCGGTCCGAAGGCCCAGATGGACCGGGCAGCCAGCAGATCCCAGTCGTACTTTGTTTGGAAAAACTCTCCCAGCTTCTTCCTGTCGTGAGGAAACAGAAGCGCCCGTGGTTAAAGGAGGTGTGCATGTCGTGTCAGCGGGAACATTAAGGAGATTGGTTGATCGGGGGGGCAGAGGGGTTAATGGAAGAGGACGAGTAGAGCGAAGGTTCAGTTTAATGGTGTGTGAAGTGTGTCACTTCTTTGGCATTGCTACTACACTCTGGCTCTCCCGGTCCAGATGGCCTGACAGATGAACCGAGGACTGACAGGAAGCACCTCTCGAGCGGGACACACACATGCACAAACACACACAAACACACACGCACTAACTCTCGCTCGGCATGTCACATCCCAGGGACGGGAAAATTAATGCAAGCTTTTAGTGCATAATTCAATTACTGTAAGTGAACGGATCAATATACGAATAGAGGATTTTTAATGAGCATACACTGGTCACAATGTACAGAAGCCTGACTTTGCTTCAGTATCAAATACAGAAATGCTCTACAGTACATCTAATATCATTTTAAAATAAAATGATGCATCAGCAATGGACACTATTCTAATATTTCTCAGTTTTTGGAGCCTCTTTCCCGCTGATATGGTGAAACAGAAATACAAAATTACGTTGAGGTTATTTAGCAGTTCTGACAGTTTTCAGAATCTTCTAAAAGAAAATTAGACCCTTAACTTAATAAAAAGTATCAAAAGCACACCAGACTGATTTAAAAACACACCTATTACATGCAGCACATGGTTAAAACCTCCATTTACAACAACAACAAAAAACAGTTGATAGTATTCATATCTTGGTCAATGCATGACGAGATGTTGAAAATTGAAATCCTAACCAAAAAACTAAAAAAACAGACAAATCCAATAACTGCTTTTAAAAAGGTGGATTTTCACTATCTTTTGAACTTCCTTAATGACAACGTTTAATTTAAGAACCAATCATCGTGCCTACATGCCGGCTCATTTATCCCTGCTCACGGAGGGAATAATGAAAATGAATGGCTCCCATATATGGAGAAATTAATAAGGCTTCTTTCCTATCAGACCGGGGGAAGGGGGGGAATTCTACAGACATGTCAAACATGAAAGGCACATTACATTATTTCAATAATTATGAAATCTCTTATAGTCCAATACGTGGACGCATGATGGCAATATCATCTACATCTCACCTGTTCCACGTGATCTGCACCACTTCGTTCTCGATGTCCTCAGCCAGCCCCTTCTCCAAGGGCTCAGCAATCATGGTGATCTTATTCCTGTCAATCACATCACACGACTGTCAGTCACTCATTCGGGAGGAACTTGGCCCAATGCAAGGACTTACTATGGCAATCACTTCTAACAGTGCACAAACTCCCCAATAAAAATAAAACATTCAACAATCCTAAAACTTAAGAGCATGTTATTACAGAGCTGTGAGTTTGTTTTGATAATATAGAAAACTAAGCTTTCTTATAAATGTCGTTATAGGTGGGGATAACATCTAAAATCAGAATTTGTACGCACTTTTTGTTCGGCGTTTCAGCGAAGCACTTGAGTGATGACGTTTCCACAACCGTTTCGCAGAAAGTCACAACAGGGTCAGCAACCTGTGGATAAAGAGGAACATAATGACACACACAAACCAAAGACTCCACTCCTGTGTAATCAGTTTGAGTTATAGCTTTGTCTTGTGAGCAGTGAGAAGAATTACTTTAATGTCGATCTCAGAGTACATCTTGCGTAGGTCGTGCATGACACAGTCCAGGTAGAGCTCTCCTGTCCCCAAGATAACGTGCTCTCCGGACTCCTCCACCTGAAAGACAAAGACATTCACTCATAATGGTCAACTATCATCTCAGCAACTTAGACGATGCACAACACACAGAGATCAGCTTTGACTTATGATATTTTTTCCTCTTTCAAAAAAGAAAGCCATAATTGTGTGTTTTAAATACAGAAAGCAATTTTAGGAGGCTACTGCTGCCTAGCCATTTAACCATATCAACTTTATAAAATGTAATCTCAGTTACCACTTGGATGTTTATACAGAACGTGTTAGAGGGATTACAATTTGTATTCCAAGCTCTTTTCAAAGAGGGCCACATACAGAAAAATATACGAAGGGCTGGGCCACTCACTAGAGGTATATTGCCTCATAAGTTATAACATAGAAAAATCAATCAAATGTAGGTAAATTATGGTAAATTATGGTTGATATTGATGAAAAATAACACACAGCTCTCCGTAGGGCTTCAAGTATTGTGTTAGCAGCTCATTCCTTAAAACAGGAGGATCAGATTGCTCATAATAAGAGGAAATATGAAGGGTATATTTCAAGGTTGTTATGTAAATGTGTTATTGGGCTTTCTATTATCAACTAAGATTTGTTAGAAAAAAAAAATTCAACTTTAATTGACTGAATTTATTTGAAAATTGTGCTTATTAACCTGTTAAGCCTGTTTTTCAGGTCTCAGGCTCGAAAATGACATTCCCAGAACAAATGACCATATCTTCACTTCTAAAAAAGGCGTAAATTAATAACCTTTTTTCTTAAAAGTAAATTCAGATTGAACATAGTAAAAACAAATTAAATTATAGTGTCCGTCCAAAAAAAAAGAAATGACTTATAGTGGAAACCACCCTTGAATGATGGGATAGTAGACTACAAGCTTTAGGAATCCAAACTACACCATATAATAAGTACCCTGTATCAAGATTGATGCAAAACAAGTGCCTGTCTGGAGCCGCAAAACATATTTCAAAGCTTGATAGCTAATAAAGTTGTATTTATTGCTATATCAGACAAAAACTACAGTTTTTTTGCATTTATTAGGCTATTTATTACATTATATAAAACTGTTAACCTCTAATAAGAAACAAAGAACTCCTATAAGGAGAATTCAAAATAATACACAGGCCTACTTTAAAATAAATTAAACACAGCACTTGGGGAGTCCTCTGCACATTTGAAGGAAAAAAAAATATTATTAAAATGGGCCCACTTTGAAATAAATAAAACATATAGCTGCACCCTAAAAAGAGTTCAAGGTAGGGTAGGTAAGAATGGAGAAACCAGCTCGAGTGCGCTAGAATTTGAAAATACACAACCGGAAAAAATATGCCTCTTCCTTCAGACTTTCTTACAGAGTCCCTCCTCCAACACACACGAACGCGCATCATCAATGAGGCCACGAGATAAGTTTGTGTACAGGTGGAAGGCTGACAGGCAGGTAGGCCATCCAGTTATTTTAGCCGGGCCGGCTAAAATGATTGTTCGTGCTTATTACAGCGCTACGGCTTCCAGAGATTAATTTTTTGTATGTATTTATTGTCAAAGCATTTAATATATTCATTGCTATCGGGACGTTAAGAGCATTCCATGGAATATAACAAAAAGTGTTTTCTGAAATAAATTACATACCCCATTGAATTATGACTGAAGATCGTCAGCTGTCTTCCTCTCCCCTGTTGTTCCTCGATGCGTAAAGGCTGCAGCACCTTTGACAACTTCTCTCTACATATCAAACATACCGGTAAACCAGCATCGTTTGCTTTGAAAGCATATAACTCTGTCCACACAGAATTAAATCCTGTGTTCCTCAGGTTATTCGCCTCCAAGAAGGAAGGCTCGCGCGGGACCGTAGCAGGATGTGACACATATTTTAGTTGATCTAATTAAAACCGTTTTGTTTTTTATTTATGTGTCACAGTATCACCTCAAAATACAAGATACGAAACATTTTCAACCATGCAACAAAATATGAATAGTCCTACAAATACTTTTATTTTATTTCCTTCTTATTTTTGTCTAAGCTCAAGGGAGCCAGAGCAGAGGGCTTAAGGGGCCGCATGCGGCCCGTGGGCCGCGGGTTGCCAACCCCTGCCCTAAGTATGCTGTGAAGACCCGCCCCTACTCTGGTAGGTTTCAGCACGAGGAGTGAGATGGGGTGGGTCTTAACCATAGGTTTTAACCGGGTTTAACGGAATACGCGCGAGAGAGAAGTCATAACAAGTGGTACAGGACAGGTAGACGACGTGTTTTTCGGATGGAAAATGAGCCAAACGCGAAAACGCATCAGCATTTGGATGCACTTCAACCAAAACCCAGGCAGTGTTGATAAAGCGCACCATTTGTAAACGCAACATATCCTTTAAAGCAGGGTCAACAAATAATCTCCATCTCAACTTAAAAACACAGTAGGCTATCTAACATTAAGAGTTGCGTGAATTTCATTTTCTCACTTTATTTACTTAACACATACAGAGGGTAAATTCAAAGTAGTACATTAATAGCCGCTTTCACACCAAGTATCACTGCCATGAATGACATAGATATGGCGCACCCTTGTGTCATGTTTAAAATGCAGATTATTGACATTAGGTCTGGCAATACAGTCAATCATTATCCTGGTGATTATTTCACAGATAAACCTATTAACTCCGCCCCCTTTAAAAAAAAACGGCTCTTTTGAACGGCTCTTTGAAAGGAACGGAGCCATAAGATCTGGCTCCCTTCAAAGAGCCATAATTCCCATCACGAGTAAATGAGTGTGTGTTCGTGTGCTTCCCATGCTTACATGCACACCTGTGTATCTCAGTGTGTGCCGGTGCATGCTCTGGCTCAGTGGTTGCTCCTGCAGGCGGCATGGCATTGGTTTGATATTCAGCGCCACGCCAACATAATGAGAGCTGGGAGAGGGTAGCAGGCCGGGGCCGACAGATGGCCCATCCACTGGATGAGGAGAGCTGAAACATTAGGAAAAGACTGCATAAGGACTGCTTCGCATAAGCAGCAGCAGTGTTCCTTCAGGAGAGCGGGGGGTGCAGCGCAGTGGGAGGGGTCCGCCGGACCGACTGCTGCTGACCAGTGGCCTGATGTCTGCTGCTCTAATAAAATAATGATAGTCCAACTGATTTTATTTAAATCCATAATATGTGATGGATGAAAAAAGAACGGTATGGTTTAAAAACTTTTAGTTTTGATCATCGCCATAATGTATTTTTTTATTGTTAGAAGTCGGAATGAAATACGACCCAACCCTGAACACCACATCACATCTTTTAGGCAAATTAAATGTTTCTCTCAGGAAGTAAAAAAAACACAATGTGAAAGGGTTAAAGTTCTAAGTCCATGGACAACTCCTAAACCTCACAACACCTTGGTTTAGACCTGTCAATTACAGAGTAGCAAGTAAAGCATACCCTGCTCTATTATCTATTTTACACTAAGTTGAAAAAAACACATACTGCCATTTTGAAGATATGGAACAACAGACACTATACTGTAGGAACATGTAAGTTAGTGAAAGTATGGTCATTTTCTTATAGACTTCTACAATCGGATTTCAGTGGAAACACCTTAAGTTAGTATGCAGATTAAAACTATGTTTGCATTGGTTTCTTTCTTCATGCCAGGAGTTGCTGCTTGGTTGTGACTATTTCTTGGTTAAAATCAGTTGCAACAACAGCTCGGAGGGCTGGTTTCCTGGAGTCTTGTTGACTTTGTGATGTTGCTATAGGCAACTGGCAGTGATGCTGTGCAGTACTTGGATGGGTAAACTGCTAGTTACACTTTATAACTACATTTTGTAATTTTAACATTTCTGTATGGTTTGGACAAACGTATCACTGTCTTGAAATGAGTGAACTTTAAAGGTAGTGGTAAGTGTATTTCTTTGGTAGACAAAGACAGGCTAGCTGTTGCCACCACAGCTCTCTATGCACAACACAAACACAACATACATACTCCCCAATGTATGCTTTATGATGTCATCCTTATTGTGAGCAGGACTAAACCCTAATAGAGTGTTATTTAGCCAAAGTGCAATACAAATCCTTGTTTGGCATAGAGACGTCTTTTGGTAATAAGTCATTGTTTAGAATCCAACTACTTTTCCTTTAAGAGACGAAACGCAGGCATTGCATTGACAGCTTAATTTTTTACCTTCAGCAGAATTTTGTTTGATGACAGGTTGAAAGAAATGCACTCAGCCAGCAGATGTGTTGTGCTGAAGGCTAATCACAAAGCCTGCGTGGATCTATTCTAGGTGCACAAAATGAAGTGAGGACAGCATCAGTATCCACGGTCACACTGTGCCTTAGAAAAACACAAAACTCAATGATTCCTTTGACCTATTGATACAAATGGGGACAGGGCAAAGGCCTCCGTCACACGCTCGAATGCTATCAACATTTATGCTGAACATCCACTGGATACAAAAAAAAATAGATAGGATGAGTGAGCTGAGGAGGAAACACAGGAAGACTGTGTGTGTGTGTGTGTGTGTGTGTGTGTGTGTGTGTGTGTGTATTTGCACTATCATACGTTTAATTAAACTACACTTGTGAAAACTAGTGGGAGGCTGCATGCAAGCAATCATGCGCATATGTTTTTCATCTTATTCTTAACTCTGATCTCCGATTTAGACATTAAGCGGTGCTTCAGCTTCAATCTCCAGGACTTAATCACTCCTCAATACTCAACCACAGAGGCAGAATCTTAGGGAAATATATATTTTAGAAGATTAAACAGCCTATGGAAAGCAGATTGTGCACACATCAGAATGCAGACTAATCCACAGTTGACTTTAGAGACATATGAGGAGCTCTGTCTCTCCAGGCGATTACATCAAGGTTAGAGAAGTTCCCCCGGTGTCTCCTGCTGCAGATCCAGAGTAAATATTATTCCGTCCGTCCAGAGGACTGCTTTATTCCTCCTCGTGGTGGGACGCTGTGTGGGTTCCCGGCTCTGCCCTGCAGCGACTGAGGCAGCCATCTCTGAAGTGTGAAAGCCCGTCTCTGAAAGCACAGGAA